CATAGCCATACGTATCGACAAGTCGCTCGTGGACATCGCTACGTAGTTGCCAATGTGCACCACCCATGGACATGCGCTAGCTTACGGGCCGGTATAGCGATCGTAAAAACTCTTATGGGCCTGGCCGCTCTCATTCTTCTCTCTGGTGAAACAGAACGCAGCTATATATGTCTATGGTCCTATGCTTTTGGAACAAACCTTTTGTGTCATTTGTGGCTGCGTTCCGATATTCACTTTCAGTACTAGAAATCTATAGCACATGTGACGTGAAGTATGGATTTTTAGTATTGGCATTGAATATCGGAACACACAGTGTGTACGTTGCTGGAACTTAGCCTAATGTGCAGTCACCTGTCAAAATTTCGTATTGTGTGTTTCAAACTTGTATCTTACAAGACGTAAATGTGTTTTATAGTAAAATCTATTAAATTTCGTAGAAATGGTGAATGCAGATATTATACGCAAAAATTATCCACTTCATTTGCTTGTTTGGTATAATAACTATGTAGAACTCGATAAAGAACTATCTGCAAATCAGGTTTGCGTAATATATATATATATATGTATATGTATATTTTAGATTAATATTGTGTTTAATAATTTTTATTTATAATATTAATACTTTGATAAATTCGTCTAGGTTAACTATGTGTTTTTGTTAGTATTTACAAGTTACAATTTTATATATGTGTTGAATATATACATATAGACTAAATTTTAGTTATCATTGAGAGATAATAAATGTGCTTTATATATTATAATCAGTATATACACATTAAAAGTATATATATATAATAATTATATAATTATTTAATAAATATATATTACAAATATATAGTATAACATGTATATATAGTATTGTATATATAGTATTGTTAAATGTATCAATTTATTGTATATATAGTATTTTTAAAAATTTATCATTTTATATTTTATATTTCTTTAAATTTATCAATAAATATAAACTTAATTTTTAGTAAATATACCAAGTAATAATAATATTATAGCATGGTATAATGTTTTATTTAACAATATAAACACAGTTTACATATTGTATATAATAGCTATGTCAAATAGAAAATTTGTTACTTTACTGTAATATTACTTGTAGTATTTAAGACATATATAAAAGAAAATGTTTGAAGTCTTTTATAAGAGAAACCTGTGTTCATATAAGTACACTTGTGTTCATATAACCTATGTGTTCATATAAGTACACACACATATATGTGACTATATATCTATTATTATTTATATTACTAAGTAAAAGTATTCTATATAGTTTGTAATTTAAATTATTCTATAAATTAATCTCACACACAAGTTTATAGTGTACATATATAATCAAACTTATTCTTGTTCTTTTATATTCTTGCTTTTCTTATGTTTTTTCTTATGCGTAACAAAATTTCTTCTCTAATCTTTTCTATTACTCTTTTTTGTTACATTGATATCTCACTATCATATGCTTATTGTGCTATCACATATATGTATGAACAGTTGTAGTATGAAGCTATTATATTTGTATAAGCTTATAACTACAGAGTAAGAATTAAGAAGAGAAGTCTAAAAAGAAAAAACTCCAGTCCTGATTTTTCAAGAAGAAAAAAATTTGATATATATCTATGGTCATACGAGCCAATCGCAGGATGTGCGGAAAAGTGCATATATATATGTATATACATATATATATTAGATATATATTTCATAGTTTAGTAACCATAGATATATTTCATAGATATATTTCATAGTTTAGTAACTTCTCCAGCTTCAATAAGATTTAATTGTTAAAGAAATTTGATTGTACATAGAATATAGTAAATATATGTAATTTGTAAATTTCTGTTTAGCATGATATAGAAAAGCATGACAATCGAGGAAGGACACCACTGATGTTAGCAGTAACTTTAAATCACACAGATTCTGCTATTGTATTATTGCAGCATGAAGCTAATGTCAATACTGAAAATACTGAAGGATGGAATGGTAATTTGTTAATTTTTTTATACATATAATAGAAAAATTAATATTTTTATGTATTGCATATATAATTTATTTATTAAATTGAGAAGAAATAATTGGTTGATGAGAACTGTGCAAGTTGACATGCGGGACAAAAGTTTTTTAATTCCAATAATTTGTCTAGATGTTTTGACTATTTTATTTTAGTCATCTTCAGTAGAATACTGTGTATAATACATATTTAGTAGATTACAATAATGTACTTAAGAATATTATTGTTTACAAAAATTAAATTAACATAAATTGTATATAGATTGTGTATAATCTTAAATGTGTGTGTGTGTGTGTGTGTGCATTATTGTAATCTACCAAATATGTATTATACAGTATTCCCCACTGAAGATGACTAAAATAAAGTAGTCAAAACGTCTGGACAAATTATTGAAATCAAAAAATGTTTTTCTGCCTGTCAACTTGCACATGGATCTCACTGCTCAATTATTTCTTTTCAATTTGATATTTTTCTCAACAAACCTGAGAACTCTATCTACACATTATCTTATTGGATAATTTATTTAGTTTGGTTTTTAAATGTGGATTCATATAGTGGTTCAAGAAGCAGTTGGAACTGGAGATCCTGAATTGCTGCAATTAGTACTAGCCAGAAGAGATTACCAGAGATATTGCAATCGAGTGGCTGGTATACCAGAGTTACTTCACAAACTTAAACAAGTCAGTATCGTATGATATATCATAATTATTTAAAAATAAAATATCACAATTTTATTAAAACCGGATTTGTTTTTTTTTAAGGAATTTTTGTTTTCTGCTAACTTGTGTACAGCTACTATTGCCTATATGTGTGTTGTGAATAATTATTATATAAAAATATGTTAAAAAATTGTGAATTTAATGGATATTAATATTTATTTTATTCTTTAAGATTTATACATGTTACATATACAGTAATTAATACACTTTTACTAAAACAACTGTGCTTTTAGGCACCAGATTTTTATGTGGAAATGAAATGGGAGTTTACAAGTTGGGGTAAGAAACTGAATATTTGACATAAGTTCTGTGTTTGGTAATTACTGAAAATCTATAAATTCATGTTACATATATTATTCATTTTTAAATACAGTAATAACTGAACAAGTCATATATTTTGACAATAATCTTCATTTGTTCTTAGTAAAACATATAAAGTTGACTATTATATTTCTGTTAATTAGTTCCCCTTGCATCTCGAATGTGTCCGAGTGATACCTACAAAGTTTATAAGCAAGGTAGTAATGTGAGGATTGATACTACATTATTAGGTTTTGATCATGCAAATTGGCAACGTGGCAGTCGCAGTTATGTCTTTAAAGGACAAAGTAAGTGTATGCATATTTTTTATAGTTTATATCATATTAATATTATGTAAGCTGTGTTAGTTCACAAAATTAATATAATATTTTTATAGATGATGGAGCAACAATCATGGAAGTGGATCATGAAACAAAGAAAGTTTATGTTGAGCATATGAAACTTATAGAAGATAATAATATACATTTAATGGAACCATCTGAAGAAGGCGTGATAGCTCGACTTACTAATCCAATAGTTACAACATATATTGACACTGATAAAATTAGTTTTGAACGGTAAAATATTTATGATACATAATATACATATACATTTGTAATATTATAACGTATATATACACATATAAATTAATCATATATTTATTTTGATTTATGTATAATTAGGAATAAAGCAGGTTTATGGGGATGGCGTTCTGACAAAAGTGAAGTGATAAATGGCCATGAGTGCAAAGTTTTTAGCGCAAGCAATGTAGAATTAATAACTAAAACAAGGTTAGAACACTTATCTGAAACGGATAAAGCAAGAGCTCGAGTACCGAGAACATCTTTACAATCATTTCTCGGTATTACGGAAGAACAACAAGAGAGTTGCAGCACCATTACTACTAGCGTAATCGTCATTTTTCTATACACAGTAGACTCTCGATACAAGTAAATCAAAAAAACTGTAGAAAAAATTTTTAAAAAACCTTTGTCAAATGCTCTTTCCAGCAGCGCTGATCTACTGTGCATAGATGTAAAGATATATGTAGAGATCTCATTATTAATCTCCAGAGACTAATTTCACTTTCAATATTGTTCTATTATGTAAGAGAAATGGTAGTCTTTACATATACTATAACAGCTATTTTTGCAGTAGAAAAGCTGACTTAATACTTTTTCTTGTGATCCTTACAAGATAGAAAAAAGTTTGAAGAGTCTACTGTGTGTAACTGGTATGTAGTGTTTTACATATTTTAAATATACTACTGTAACTGTAAATTTTAGGAAGACTTTAATGTAAGTAATCCCTGTAACATTACTGCTGAGGAATACTTCGATCCAAATGTCACTTTAAATGGAAGAGATATAGGCAGACCAAAGGAAGTTAATACAAAAATACAAAAATTTAAGGTAATATGTACACACACATACACGTGAGATTCTTTATACATATAAATACTTGAAGCTTCGTTTCAAAGATTGTGAAAAATTAATTTCAAAAATTTAAAGTAGTTATCGCGTAGAATCGATTACTTGACAACTTTTTCAAAGAGCATAGCAAGATAAGCATGTGTGTGCTGCCCCCAGCCGGATTCGGTCGAGATTTTAACTGTAAGTTACCACTAATACAAATGTTATTTCCCCAAAAACATATTTCCCAAATATGGTTTTTATGGAAGTTATGGAGGTATAAAGAAAAACCGAAAAAAAAAATTTCTCGATAACGGCTTGACCGATTTTAATAAAAAGATATGTTATAAACTTCAATGGGATAATGTTTAAAAAAAAATGAGAAACAATTTCGTCTAATAAAAGTTTTTTTGAAAATTATTTTATAAATGTTTTTCAAATTTTTTTTACGGAATATCATTGAGACACTACTTTTATTTTTTAATGCAAAAAGCTTTCAACACTAATATAACATAAAACTTTTCAAAATGATTAAAAGAGTAGTGCATAGTTAAACACATTAAAGCAGAGCTTTCCAACTGATCACGTGACTGCATAGAAATCTTATGGCGCAAACGTCGCGCCGTGTGCGAGTTAGAAGGCTCTGCATTAAAGTTCTCAACGGTGCACTTGCGATATGCTGTGTCGTGCCGTGCGCGCGCGCTGTGTCTCGCTTTGAATGGTCTTTAAAAAGAACCTTAGAATTTAAAATATTAAGTTCAATATGACGACAATAATTGCGAATTGTTTGCAGAATCGCGTGACTTATTCTAAATCTTAACATAACTTATGAATTGAAAACTAAGAAATTGGACCAAAAAAATAAATAAGGCCCTTAAAATTCTAAACATTAAAATTGATCATTAAGAACCAAACGCTAGATGAAGGTGCAAAAAGAATATATAAATATATAAATATATAAATATATAAATAATATTTAAAGGCTCGTGAAAGTTTCAATGAAAATGTAAGGCCGATACGAGCCGTTCATAGGATGTTGAGCGGAACTTGTACGTGTATACATATATATGTATACACCTATGACAAATTCACTTTTAAATTTTTACAAGTGAGTTTTTTGAATTGAAAATTCAATTTTTAAATTCATATGGGATGCGGGATTTGCATCTCACATATGAAAGACCCCGAATACCCCCCTAACTAATTTTTAAAATATTGCGAAAAAAACTGCCATGGCACGGTAAGCCGGAGATTCCAGGTTCGACTCCTGGCCGAGGATTTCATATGAATTTAAGAATTGAATTTTCAATTCAAAAAACTCACTTGTAAAAATTTACAAGTGAACTTCATAGGTGTATACATATATATGTATACACATACAAGTTCCGCTCAACATCCTGTGAACGGCTCGTATCGGCCTTACATTTTCATTATAAATATATATGTATATATATATATATATTTCTATATTGTTCAAAAGAGGTTGGAAAATTGCATAAATTTTCCAATTTCTTACAAGTAACGAGCATTTCTCATATATGTGATGCACATTCAGGATCCTATATGAATTGAAGAATTGAATTTTCACTTTATATTTATATTATTTTAGTAAATTTTTACAACTGAATTTTTGAATTAAAAATTCAATTCTTTAATTTATATAGGATGCTGAATGTACATGTATGAAAAATGCCTGTTACTTATAAGAAAATGGAAAATCTATGCAATTTTCCAATTTCTTCTTTTGAACACAAAATATTGTTAATATTGTTAATATTGTTAATCGTTCTTTAAAATTTGGTAAAACAATTGTGGCTTTATCTTCAGTTTCTACTTTTTTTCTGGTCACGTTAAATAAAAACTTATCACACCTAGGACATTTAGGATTTTTCAATGATACATTTTTTATAAGTCAAATCAAGTATGACAAAAAAATCGAAAGCAAATATTTGTAGCTGAAAAGAATGTGCTCGAGAGAAAACAACAAGACGCAGGAGATATTAATATAATATATACTATTAAAGACAGCGCGAAGGAAGCTCAAATAATAATAAACGTCTTTTCAGGCCAAATCGTTACTTCAGTTGGATGCTAAGGAATATGAAAATATCATGGCATGTAACATGAAGTTATAGTTACCCATATGCATAAATAAGAAATATTTAATGCACAAACACTTAACGCGACTGCACCAAAGTGGTCAAAACGCTTTTGGAATAGTTTTCAGTGGCAGTCTGCACAATGATATAACTGTACCGAAAACTATTGAAAAAGCGTACTCAATATTTTAATATAACTCTAATAAATTTTAATATAATAATTTATTCTGAGTTTTTTTTTCAATAACCATTCAGAGCGAAACAGCGCGCACGCACGACACAACTGGCATACCGCACGCGTACGTAGTTAAACAAATTAAAATTCTCAACAGTGAGCTTGTATTTACTTAAAGTTAAACAAACTTTAATTTGTTTAACTACGCACTACCTTTTTAATAATTTTGAAAATTTTTATATTATACTAGAATGTTAGAAGCTTTTTATAATGAAAAATAAAAGTAGTGTTTCAATGGTAGTCCGTAAAAAAAAATTTGAAAAAAAATTACAAAACAATTTTCAAAAAAAATTCTATTGGACGACATTGTTCCTTAATTTTTTTTAAACATTATCTTATTGAAGTGTATACATATCTTTTCATAGACTTAGAAACTTAGATGGGAAATTACGGGATAACGAGCTCGCGTAACGCTTACAGATTTTTTTGACTAACTTTGCGTACGACGTTCGGAACAAGTAGCGGCACCGATACGAACAGTTGACGAGGTATACTCGGTGACTATTATATGGTCATTGGTGTAACACATATACAGTGTCCCAGAATTAGTGTAACATCTTTCGTAGGCAGAAAGAGTAAAACTGAGTCGAGTCCTATATCATTTTGCGAAATTCGTAATAGTTACTGAGATCTTAATTAACGAACGTCCGCAAATAAGCATGCATCGAGCTGTTTTACGCGCGTAAGACAGCCCGTCGCGCTTCGCGCGCTCACGGTGTTACCCGTAGAAACGTATGGGAGGAGCTAATATAACAGCTATTTATTATGTACATGTATATGTCATATACTATAATATACATATAACATAATAAATGGTAATCGCGGAGAGCGCGTCGGGCTGTTTTATGCATGTGAGACAGCCCGATGCATGCTTATTCGCGGATCTTTGTTAATTAAGATCTCGGTAACTATTGCGAATCTCGCAAAATAGTATAGGACTTTTCGACTTAGATTTACTCTTACCTGTCTACGAGAGATGTTACACCAATTCTTGGATACCCTGTATATACGTGTTGCAAAAATCGCACGTTTTTTTAACTTTTTTCAATCTTTTATTTAATAGTATAAACACGTTTTGTTTTTAACCTGATTTAACGCTATCACATCTTACAAAATTTTTCTTCACATATCTCGCGCCACATATAGAGTTCACTGTCTGCGAAAGTGTCAATTTGTTCAAGCGTTGTCTGTCACTGCACTTTTGATCGCAACAAACGCGATGAGTCATCTTGTATAATAATGGGATGGTGGAAAAGTTCTGCGGATTTTTAGTATAAAATTTAAACACAAAATCGACATTTATAAAAATTAATTTAGTCCACAATGTATTGACCGTCTTGATCTACAAATTGTTGCCAACGTTTTGGTAGGGCCTTGATGCCGCTCTCGTAAAACTCTTGAGACTTGTGGGCGAAAAAATCAACGAGGTGATTTCGGATGGCCTCCATTGAGTCGAATTGATGACCGTCAACATTGTTTTGCAGCGAGCGACACAAGTGATAATCAGACAGTGCAAGATCCGGCGAATATGGTGGGTGCTGCATCATTTCCCAGCCAAAGCTCTGCAATTTTTTTTCGTGATCAAAGAAGTATGTGGTCGAGCGTTGTCATGATGGAAAATCATACCTTTTCTATTCGACAATTCTGGCCGCTTCTCTTGCACTACTTTGCGCAATTTGTCGAGCTGAGCGCGGTATTTCTTTGAATCTATTGTTTGGCCCTGCGGGAGCAGCTCGAAGCACAGCACTCCTTTATAGTCCCACCAAATACATAGCATTACTTTCTGTGGATGCAAATTAGGTTTTGCCACCGTTTGTGAAGACTTGCCCGGACCGTACCACGACTTCCGCCGCTTAATGTTGTTGTAGACAACCCATTTCTCGTCTCCAGTGATGATCCGTTTCAGAAATGGGTCTAGAGAGTTTTGTTTCAGGAGAGATTCACACACTAAAATCCGATCTATGATGTTCTTTTCGCTCAGTTCGTGCGGCACCCATACATCAAGCTTTTTCACCATGCCAAGCTTTTTTAATCAATCCATAACGGTTGTATGATGAATGCCGAAGCGCTTCGCAATCTCTCGAGTCGTTAAGTGTCGATCACTCTTCACTGTAGCCAGGTGTTGGTCGTCGTCAACAGAATTTGGCCGTCCAGAGCGTGGTGCATCTTGGAGGTTAAATTCTCCGGAACGGAAGCGAGCAAACCATCTTTCGCATGTGTCTGCGCTTAAGACGAGGCACCATACATGGCGCGTATTTCGCGCTTAGCGCAGAGGCGTATTTAACGTCGGTGCAACCGGTGCGATGCACCGACGGGTCCCGGGATCTGCGGGCCCTCGGTGCATGATAAACATTTATAAATTTATAATATTCATAACATTACCTATCGGAGTTGCGAGTGCCGAAAGATCATTTAGTGTATTAAGGAGACTTAAAAGTTATTTAAGAAATACCATGACACAGGAAAGAACATCTGATCTAACTTTATTATCAATTGAAAAAAATGTTTTGATTAATTTAAATTTGGAAGATGTTGCAAACAAATTTATGTCGGTTAAAGTTCGAAGAGGTGTTCGTTTCTAAATTTGCATACAAATAAAAATTCATTAAAAACTTTTGTCCAATTGCTTTTAATAAATAATAATAACAATAATAATAATAATAATAATTATTATTATTACTATTATTATTATTATTATTAATTAAAGGGCCCTCTCATCTTTGTCCTTGCACCGAAGTTTTACCAGTCTTAAAAACGCGCCTGGCTTAGCGTCCGCCGCTTTATATTCTTTACGGAATAAAAACACTAAAATATGGCGAAAATGCAAGTTTTGATCTTCCATTTTAGTTGTATGCCGTACACGCAAAACACATCCGACCAAAACAAACACTTCTGCCAAATGTCAAGCGTAGTGTGACTTGTCAAAATATGTGCGGCAGACTGACATTTAAACGACACGCGATAATTATTTTCTGATACTAGTGTCATCTATTAAAAAATCCGCAGAACTTTTCCACC